AAAAAAATAAGGGTAGAACATTGCCTCTCTTCAACTCATCTAAATTAACCAAATATCTAATATACTATTTAGAATAGAAGAATAGAAAATCCCTTTACTGTCCCACGATGGCGAAATAGTGTATATTGCTATCATGCAAAGATTTTGATCCTAAGAATATTTTCAATTAATTATTTTACTCATTTTCCAATTTTTAAAACAGGAAGGAACTTAAAGAACGTATTTGTTGCACAAAAGTAATGCACACAGGGACACAAATTTTTCTTGAATTGTAATATTCAAATCGGGTTCATCTAAAATGCATTTGTTTTTGTGTGTTTGAAATAAATTCTTAAAACATAAATTAAAAATGAATTTATCGTCCATTTATCTGTAACGTTTGGTTTTACATTTTTTTAAATTCTTTCAAAAGAAAAGGCAAAAACTCCAGTCATTTAGCTGCAGAACAGCTGTTCATTTTAGTTAAGGGTTTGTCAGTGTGATTCATGGTAACATTGATGAATTAAAGGGTGTAATCTAGGACTCTAAAATCTAGCCTGTCAGCAATTTGTTCAAGGCATTGATTTGTGTGAGAAAAATGTCTTCCTTTAGCTCAAGTTTTGCACACTTTGCTAATGTACTCCATATTTTAGAAAAGGAGAGCCACTTTACGATAACAAATGTTATCTTTAAATTAAATAAATGCTCTGTTTCATGCATCCAGACAGCATACACGGTAGATATTAAAGATAGAGGTTATGCATGGAGAAATGAATGCTTGAAGTAGCTGCTGCACACATCTGCACTCTCTCAGCATTAGAGAAGAATAACCAAGTAGAAAACAAACAGCAACAACTGGAATATTTCTTTAAGCAGAGTCATTTGGGGATACAGGGAATAATCTCTGCCTCTGTTTGCAGAGAGCGAAGGGGCCATGTGACTCATCTGACTCCACATGACTCAACAAATAAAAAATAAAGCAACCGGACAACAAAAAACACTGACATTCACGCAAACCACTAGAGCCTATGCAGCATGACTGACCTGCATAGCACTCCCCATTTACACGACTGTTTTTATACATTAATACAACAGCAATGTTTGATTTACCTCTCTGCATGTTTACTGTGGTGCACACAAAAGCTAATAAAGGGAAAAACACAATTTTGCGTAGAAAATATTCAATATTCCTTCAAGGTGGAAAAAGTGGGGCAGTCTTATAATGAGCTCTTTTCTGTTAGACGAGCAAAGAGTTAAATGGAGAACGATGTCCCATTTTCCAGCTCCACTGTGGCGCTTTACTTACTGAGGCATTGACTTAGTGAAAAATTATCTGTAGACCTCATGGTACGCTCTTATGCTCATGTTCAGGATGTGGACAGATATGCTGACAGTTAAAGTGCAATTAGGAATGTCTGTTTTTAGCAGTATTAGTTGATCTACAAGGTGATGCGTACATTAATCCCAGTTTATTTACCCACGACAGAATATAACATGCTTTGATGCAATGCAAAAACCCAAAAAGCCCCAAATACATGATGTAGTTAACAATATTTAATGTTAGTAAAATAAAAGTAGAACATTTTTCTTAAGGTATAGAGGAGGATCTTTTATTTCCGGGTGGATCATCTCAATAATTGGTCCTCCTAATTGTCAATCATTCTGGGAATGTGTTCACGTTAGTCTCATTAGCTATGCGCACTTTCAGGCGTAGATCTGTGGTGAGTTACAGTTTCAGACAGTCATTGAAGCTCACCTTTCTCACAACTGTTTTTTTTAAAATGGCTGAGGGTCGTAAGAGAAAAATGTGGCCGTTTCTCAATATGTGTACTTGTTAGTCATGTGCTTCCAATTCACAAGAACAGCAGACTAGGGATGCACGATATAACCCGATATTTGATCAGCTTCTGAGTTTCTAAAGTCTAAAAAAAAAAAAGTACTACTTTTTCTTCTTCTTTTACCTCAAAAACTTATATTTTTCAGACTTTAAGTCTTCTACAGACGAGGAAAAAAATATTGCTTCATTAATATATCCCAATATCTTCATATGCTGATATATTGCCATTTAAAAACACCATATCAATCTCTTTTACTAATGAAATATTGCTATATGTCATCGTTATGCTACGAAATCCCCGAAAATTCACAAAATTTTGCCATATTTTAATATGTTGATATATTGACGCGGTATCGATCTATTTTACTAACAAAATCTCACAAGAATTTGCAAAATATCACGAGAGTTTGTAACAGAACGATGAAATTTCACGAGATTTTGAAAGTAAAATAGATCAATACCACGTTTTTAAAAATCAATTTGATATCAGCATATGAAAATATATTTGAGTATATTATATTTCAAAGTGTCAGAAATGGATAACAAAACTGCTATTTTCAATGACTACTTATTTTTGTCCAGCTTTAACATCAGTATCGGTATCGGTTATCGGCTACATGAGTTTTAAAATATCGGCATATCGGATATCGGTCAAAATCCCAATATCAAGCATCCCTACAGCAGACCAAGAATGTACAAACTCCTCGAATGTTGTTCTCGCCCCTCCCTATTTATACATACATACATACATTTTGAGTTGCTGCAATGAAATTTTAGCAAAATGGAATAGCCTGCCGCATTACTTGTACACTGTAATTTTTGGGGTGTCTTTGAATTAAGCCCTTTGTAGGTTGATAATTCTCATTTCCATCAAATGATGTGGCATCCTTTTGTTCCTAACAAACCACCCAGTCCATATCAGTAGAAATAAACAGCATTATTTTTTGCCCCATTGAGATCTGATGTTTTTTCAAAGTGTTCCTAATTTTTTTCACAGTGTATATCATTATGTTCACTAAAGTCTGCAGTTGTGCAACAAAACACTAGCATATAAAAGCTGCTATAAGGGAATATAGTTAAATATAATTATATGTTTAAAAAAAGGCTTTAAGCGAACCGTTTTCTATTGCATAATCAATGATAAGAACATTTGAAATCAATACCAGTTTTTTACAATGAAAAGGTAAAAAGCGAGCAGCATACCTGGGTGGTCGTGGGGCTGGAGTGTGTGTTGGGGGCACTGTGGGAGCAGCAGGAGCGACACGCCTCGGTCTGGCAATTTCCTCACCTGGGAGAAAGAAGAAAATAAAATTATTAATAATTATTTAACATTAAAGCTACATTAATTGCTCTGAAGGGCAGGGAGAGTGTGACTTACTCGATGTGTTCCTTTTCAAACCCTGTCATGACAGAAAAGAGAAGAAAAGTTGAAAAATCCTAAGATTCAAAAAGTAACAGAAACTTTATCATATTTTCCCAGCGTATAAAAGCAGCAAATAAATTTAAACATTGATAACGGGTAGATATTGTTTTAAAAATATGATTGTACATCATTAAAGGCTGGAGAACAATCAATCTCCAGCTTTCATATTAAATTAAGGGTGAAAATTAATTTCATTCTGCTTTATAGCTTCTTATCAGGATAAAGATCTGCCATAAAACATTTTTTTTTTCTTTTTCTTTTTGCAGAAGCATAATGAAACTCAAGAACTTTATTAAAGTCAGCTCTTAATTTTGGAACATTTGGGGAGGAACAAAAATCCAAAGAAATCACAAGTGACAAATTTTTAGCAGCAGATGAAGAGACTCATTTCTCTTCACTGCCTTGTAGGCCCGATAAGGGTCCAAGTTTCTCTTGCCACCAAAGATAAAAACTGTTCTCAAAGTCCACCACAAGAAAACTAGAGCAGCCAGTGGGATCTTGGGAGCACAGATTGTCTGTAAAACCATAAAACTACCAACATATAAATCAGATGTTTAGGAAGCATGCCAAAGAAAGTAAATATCCCTTCAAGTAGAGTGGAAGGACACTGAAATCAGACAGTGAGGTCAAAGAGTGGAGTTTGTTAAACAGAACTTGAGTTTTAACTGGAACTTACAGCAACAGACATTACAGATACACCTGATCAGAATCAGAATCAGGTTTATTGCCATTGTTAGTGAAGGGGTTCACAAACTAGGAATTTTTTGTGGTACAATCGTGCAACATGAAACATATAATATGGAATAGGTAAATAAATTTATAAAAATATCTAAAACACTGTGGGTATAAGGCATTCAATAAAATAGACTAATATATACACTTAGGATAAAAATATGGATACAAAATATAAAAAGTAAAATAGCATCTTACAAGGAGTGCAAATACAGTAGAGCAGTGTGCAAATAGAGCAGTGTAAAAGAAATGGGCAGGTTATAGAGTCTGACATATAGTTAGGTGTTCATGAGTCTTAAGGCAGAGGGGAAGAAGCTGTTTTTATGGCGGGAGGTTCTGGTCCGTATGGACCGTAGCCTCCTCCCTGAGGGAGAGGCTCAAACAGTCTGTGTCCAGGGTGAGAGGGGTCGGCTTTGATGCGACCTGCACGCCCCCTGGTCCTGGAGAGATGGCAGCTTAGTTGTTAAAAATGGCAGTCTAGTTGTTAAAAAAAAAAAAGAAGGTAGATTTTTTTTTTTGGAAGCATTCATAGCCTAACTAATATAGTCTATTTACCAAAAGCACTATGCATGGTATGGTTGTTCCATGTCAGGTACACCAGTCAGTGACCTTGACCAAGACACCTTATAGTAGAACTTTCTATGTAGGGGCTATCACTGCCACTACATACAGTAGAAAGGGACAAATGCAGAGGACAGATTTCCCCCTTCATAGTCATGGTAGGCCAGTTCTTTGATTTTATTTGTTTTGCTCAGGCTACTCGTAAGCCCACAGCCCTCCAAACGTCAAAAGGGCAATATTATTGCCATTACTGTTAATATATAGTTGAAATTTTACACATTGAGTAATAAAATGTCACAGGGGATGGTATGGGAGGATGGTCATTTAAGAAGGTTTTTAAGAGTTTTTTTTAAGAAGGGGGATGCCATTCCCCCTCATCCTCCCTTAACTCGAGTACTGCACCTGATGATTAAAAAAAGGTTAAAAAAAAACAATCCACTCGAATTTGTTTACCAATTTTGAAAACATTTCATTTTCCATCCAGGAAGCTTTTTCTATTCAAAATGTCAGAGTTAGCGTTGACTTCCAAGCTTTATAAAGCGGACCAACAAAGCCTTGCTTTGGCTTAGAAAACATGCATTTTCAAAAATCTTGTAATGACTATGACCTGGATGACTGAGAATATCCACCAGCACCTGTTGATAAAGAATAAAAAGCGTCTGTTGCCCACTGTTAGGTACAGCTCAGGATATGTGATGATATTAGCCTGTTTCTCTTCCAAAGATCATGCGAGCCTTGACACAGCACCACATTTTAACTAATTTTAGGATCCTCCAGACATAAAATCAACCTCAGCAATGTCTATATGAAAACCTGTGGGATGAGCTAAGGAGCACTTTCAAAAAGAAACTGTAAAACAACGTAGAGATGGAGTGATTAGAAGAAATAATAATTCTCAACCACTTCCAATAAGAAAACACACCCAATTTAAAATAAAAATTTTCTGAATGTTTTAGTTTAGGGGTAAGTTACTAAAATTCAAAAATCTATTCATTTGAAGACTTTCTAAACTGTTATTTTAGCATCGTAATTGAGCAAATTATTCGTATCTAAATTATTACCATTGACTCTACAAAACATGCAAAAAGTCATTCTTTTCTTAAAATAAGTGCATTTTTTCTTGAATTGAGGAGGTAAGCGAGACACTTTGCCAATGGAACAAGAACATTTAAATTTAAAATAAGAAACAATAATTGAATTGTTTTATTTCAAATGCATGTTATCTGATTATCTTATTTTAAGAGTGAAAAATACTAATTCCTTTGGCAGATCTTCTTATTTACCTTTTCAAATAAAAGGGTAAATACACTTAATCTTAGCCATTTTTACATCGTTTTTGCAGTGTAGTGTGATGAGTATGGCTTTTTATGTGCCTCTATTAATTTTTACTTCCATTAGAAACAAAAGACAAAAAACAAGAATTGTATTATTTTCATGTAACTGGAAAATTGTAATTTGATAGGCTCTCTTGTCTCCGCTGTAGCCAGAACTCATAACAATTGTTAATCTTTAAAGCTTTTAAAAGTCTAAGCAATATGCTTTTTGAGGTGTGTGCAATGCATCAATGTGACAGTGAACAAAGTGTAACACTGTGGTAATATTGGTGTAAAAGGTGTCTTAAATAAGGCGGCCTGAGTGCCCACTCAGACGTTACAGTTTGTCCTGCTGTGATCCTAACAGTGGTATGAATTAATTGTGGTGGAGGGAACCGCCAGCATTAAAAAGGAAGTTAGAGGAGAGCTGGAAAAGAGGGGATGAGACACAAGCAGATGAAGCGACACGATGGGAAGAGACTAGTGTGAGACATCAAAGGGCCAGCTGTCTAAAGTACAAATTATAACCGAGTAGACTGAAAATAAAACATCTTTTTCTTCAAGGCAGAAAACCAAAACCACCATCAGACTAGAGATAGAAAGCAGCAGGATTTCTTTTTTTGAAATGCTTATATTTATTTTCATCAGAAAAATGTCAACTCCTGTTCAAGGATACAGGAAGCCTTAGATTTAGTCTGACCTCAGTAAGACAGATGAAAAGGACACTTACCGGGCTACGTCTCTGTGACCAGCATAAAGGAAGAGAGAAGAGATACCTGATCAGAAAGTGACAAATCAGTGAAAAAGAAAGCATATGCACATAAGAAGACTGTTTGGCCTGGCTGATCATCATGTTAAAAAAAGAATAATTGTCTTTTATTTATTGAAATACACCTTTTAGCATTTTTAAAGAGGTTCATTTACTGAAACCAATTTGTGTGCCTATGTTTGGTGCTTTGGTAGCGAGATAAAAATGGATAACATCTTGTAGAGCTGCATCATTAATTAATTATTTCTTCTAACCCTTCATGCATTTCCTAAACCCTGCCATGTTCCTTTTTTTTTTTTTTTTTGCATGTATCTTTACATATTGCCCCTTTGCACACTTGAATTTCGAGTGAAATCACTCCATAAGCCTACATCTTATCCACCTCAGAGTAGCCATCTCTCCCTCCATCCCCTCACTCTTTAGCTTGCCCCAGTTGTTCAGTGAGCCATCAGTGATTAAAGTGATGTAACAGAGGGTGGGACCTGCTGGTGGTAGGAATTCATTTAATTGGATACGGCCGTGAAGGACAGAGATCAGTGAAGGCTGAGCTAGCCAATATAGCTGCAGCTCTACTGAATATAAACAGGAAAACCATCAGAGCTGTAGAAGCTGTATGAACCACAAAATATCTTGTTCATTTTAGTGGACATACTACATAATACTACATTTTCAATTTTTTTTATTATCCGCTCAGTATTGAATTTTGATATATATAATATTTTGTAAAAGTGTCAGTTAAACTCAGTAGAGATTAATTTAAAGAAGACAAACTACTTCAGAGAATGAAATGCAAAACACTACAATTATTGTAAATACGGTCAAATTTTAAGAAAAAAAAAGGTAAAATAAATATTTTCTAAAGAATAAATGGGAATACAAACATATGTTAAATGAATAAAATAAAGAATTACAGAGATGACGTAAACTGCATATGCATTTGTCATCACCAACTGAATCTGAATAATCGTTGGTGAATCCCATCTGGGAAAACATGTCACCTGGTGTGAGTAAAGTGAATATATAAAATCTCCCTGTAATGTCTCAGTATTATGTATACATGTGTATTGTAACCTATGTAATGTTTCCTTTTTATGCATTATTTGGATTTTTTTTGTTCAGTTTTCTTAAACTGACATTTCTTTGCAGAAATGTTTTATTTAAATTCAGAATTCCTTTTCACATGGTGGGAATTTAAAAGCATCCAGCATCTTGTCTTGGTAAGATCTGCCTTCTATAAAATACAAAAAATTCCCTATACTGAAGACAAGAGCACACCACTCTCTTCGGGTGACCATAAAGCTTTGTTTTTGGGGCCGTGACAAAGTCTTAAAATGCACATTCCTCTGCTGCACACTTTTGTTCAGTTAAAAGCAATGTAAAATAAATAAATAAATAAAAAACTGCACCGTATTTAACCTTCTGGAAAAACACTGAAAGTTTTGACTCCAAACTTATTCATATTTGGAACCTATTCGTAATTGTCAACATCTGGTCAAAAAAACTAAGCTCCATGTGGAAAAAAGTACCCCACAAACGATGTCACCATGTTTTACTTTGGATATGGTGTTCCTTTCTTGACTGTTAAGTCTGGACAATAAATATAATTCTATTTTTTATTCCCGCCTCTGGGAAATATGGCTGTAATACAAGAATTTAGATTAGCAAATATATTTTAGGTTGATTAAATTCACTATAAAAGATTCACTAAAAAGATTATGGACACTTTTGTGATTGTATCACTTTAAAAAACATGTTTTAATTTTTTTGTTGCAAAGTAAAGGAAATATTTACAATTTAAAAAATATTTTGAAATTATGTCTTAATTTTGTGGATGCACTTTGTACACTTTGTGGATTTACTTAATCTGCTTTAGATTAAAGTAGAAAACAGGCTTCATTGCTCATTAGTGCTGATCATTATGAGTTACTGGTTTAATAATTTTGTCCCAAATTCAGGTCACCAATTAGCAACAGCACAAACTTCAATCGTGTTTTACGTAGGAAGTACTTTAAGAGGTTAGAGAGCACAAAGTTAAGAAAGGCCCAAAACTAAAAACAGACAAAAAGCAGAGTCTTACCGGACTCCTCTACAGTAGTTAGGGTCATTTAAGGCAGCAAAACAAAAATAATCAAAGGAAGAGAAAAAGTTAACAAAATGTTAGAAGGTGGGGGGGGGCATTATACTGACACAGCAAAGCAGACAGGAAGTTATTGCCGTTTCATTGCATTCATTAACACCCATTTGGAGTCGACTTTGAATAGGACAGCGGAAAATTTGTGTGAAATCAGCATTTAACCTGCATCATTATTGCTTCATTACAAACACATCCAGTTCTCCAATAGCAGGGCTTCCTCCATTCAATTAAATATTCTCAAATAGTCTACAGTAACGCGTTGTAGTGCACTTATTGGGTGTATCTCACACTGCTGTTAATTTATGAGGTCTATTCGAGAGAATCTGACTTTTGCTAGTTTAAAAAATGGCTACAATGCTCTTTGATAAAGTTAGTTATTCAAAACATGCAAATAGTAAGACTAAACGTGGCCGCTCATGATGCATATTAATGACTGACACACTGATTTTGCTTAAAGATCATAGGTTGTAATAAAAAAAAAAGATGCAAAATTATTTCATGGCAACAAAAGCTTGTCTGAAAATTTCTGTCCACAGCTTCACTCAAGGAAATATTTAAAGTTTATCGAAAACCTTGAATCTGTCCATAAGTTGTTTTTTTCCCCTCCCAAGGCCTCCATACATGAACTTAACCATTAAAAGCATAAAACCTTCACACCTGATAAGGTTGACAAAGGCAGTGGGTGAGACCAGTGAAGCTTGATTCAATTATTGAGGACAGAAGATCAAATGACCTCAAGTAATATCCCTGTATAGCGAACTGAAACACAAGTTCATTGTGCCCACTTTCCTATCTGAATAATTTAAAGCAGACACCTAAGCAAACTGTCCTCACTGGGGAAAGGCAGGATCTAAGGCTAACGGTCCAGTAGACATAAAAAAAGCTTACAGCTGCATGAGGAACCCCGATGCAGACAAGACTTATCATTGATCTACTTGGCAGCTCTAAAATAGTAGCTTATGTGATAGGAGTTCTGATTAGGAGAACTCGTTATAAACTAACACTCAAAACATGTCAATTAATAACAGAAGTCTTACAATTAGTAAATGTGAATTTCAAGATTGTTGGCAATTCTTTTATTTCCGATTTTAGGCTTTCAGTTCTGTAATCAATAAAATTCAATTCCGTTAATTGACGCTACAGACCATGCACACATGCTGGATCCTCCGATATATTATGGCAATAATCATGCAGATGCAAATGGATTATTATGAATGTAAAAAAAAAAAAAAGGGATGTTTAGTTTAAAAATATGTTAATGTTAAGCAGATGGCTCTAAGGAGATCATGATGCGTTGATCGAAAAGAAGAGAAAGTTACATCTACAAACACCCAGATCTAAATTATATAGTTATATAGATTAAAATCACCAAGGAGGATAGATTTGAAGCATTTATTTCCCTTAATGTCAATGTTTTCTTTAGTTTTCAGTAAAAAAACAAAAACAAAAAAAACATAAAAAAGATATTAAATGCTTAGATATGGTCTAAAAAAAAATTATAGGAAAGCCCAATGACTTAACAGTGGTCCATTAGATCGTCACTGGGATCCTCTACAGCCTTGAGAGGCGGTTTGACAAAAACTGGCTGCTCACAGGGAGCTGTTGTCATTTTAATATTAATAAAGAGTTAAGTAGAAGAAAAAGGTTTGGTTGAAACGTTCGCACAGGATACCCCGTGTTTAAGGGGACTCTGAATAAATCCACTGTCAGCATTTTAGGGCAGATTCACAAACTGTTGACTGGTGCTGGTCACCGCAGATATAAAGCTGGGCGCCATTTTTTTTTTTTTTTTTTTTACTTCCCTTTTTAAGTCAAACAAAATAATTTTTTTCTCTCTTAGAGTTTCAATTCAAAAACATTACTGTTGATCTAATGAACACAGATAATATATGTATAACATCTTTAAGGATTTCTGAATGAAATCAATGCTCTGATAAAATACATTGAGAATCATGCAAACATCTGAGCAGGAAAAAAAAAGCAACTTCCAAAGCCACAAGATAAAGATTGGATTAGATTGAAAAAAAAAAGAAAGCAGATATGAGCTGAACATACACGTGACAACGACCTAAACATCATGAACCAAGTCTGCTAACGAAGGTCAGCAGAAGGAGGACACAGCCGTCAGGCTTACTCACCATAGGAGATGGGGACAGGGCGATGTTGCCTATGGAGGCTTTGAGCTCATCCACCGAGGGAGCTGCTATGACGCAATCAGCTGGCAGCGGTTTGATTTTGATTTTAAATTTCTTCTTGTGGTCCTCCTCCTCCTCAGACTCATCAGAGGAGAAGAAGTGGGGCTTTTTTGTAGGTGAGGGTACAAAGTCAAGGAAAACGTCCCACTGCATAAATTTAACTGACCTTCAATCCTTTAACATAGCATCTAATTTCAGGTAAAACTTTGTAGGCAAACATTTTTTTTAGGAGAAATGAAAGATCCTATTTCAAATACCTAATGCAATGTCTGCTCTTAATAAAAATTTTTACCGTTTGTGGGTAAACAACCTTTTTATTCACTTTGTCGATGTCCAACTTCAAACCAATCGCTCCACTGCACAGTTAGAGTAGCATGAATCTCATTCAACATTCAGTGTTCTGACTCATTGTTTTGACATTGTTATAAACTACCTCTAAGCGGTCTAAACAAAGTCATACTTAAACCACATTAGGAGAATATTTAAATAGATAACAGCTGATCCATTTGAAAGCATCCTGTAATTCACTACCGTTGCTGTTTTTAGGATATCTCCTTCTTCACACTCATCTTCAGGTCTGATACTGTAGCCTTCATCATCCACCTCTGGAGAGTTCTGAAACACATCGACTGGAAATTAGTCCAAACATTTCAAACATGAGCACAGGTGGAATTTTAACGCGGTGGGGCCGCTGGATTTTTAACGAAGGAACGCTAACCATGCTTATTGTTGCCGCTTTATTATATAGATGATTCTCCAGCTGTAATAAAAGCTTTACATTAAAGCATAATTGGAAACTAACTAAATAAAATGTATTATTGACTAATGCTACTTTGAAAATACAGTAAGTAGAGGCCAGTTAATGTAGGCCGATAGCAAGGAGCATCTCAACCATCTCCTCTACTGTTTTCCAGAGAGAGCAAAATATAATTCGTCTGTAAATATTTCTTTTTGACAAAAAGATAAACAGCCAAAAGTTGAAAACTGAAGGTGTTATATTGTAAGAAGACCCTTGTATATAATACACAACCAGGAAGCCTGAAAGTTCTTGCTGTTATTTTTGGTTTGCATGTTTAGCTTTGATTTTCCTGTGTGAATGAACAATTAAATAGCTAATTTTAATAGCTAATATCATAAAATATGTTGGGCAATAGGCTATTACTATACGTCATAGTAAATTTAAAGAGTCCTTGTGCTAAATGTTGCTTAGAGCCATATATATATATATATAAAATAGAAAAATAGACATGATAGAAAACATAACTGTCTTAATCAATATCTTTTAGTACTATGAGAAATAGCTGCTGTTCTGTTTCAAATAAAACTCATTAAAACATCCTTTATGTTTTGTTTATATTAACATTTGTTTAAACACACTCCAATGGATATAAATATTAGTTTGTTTCAGTAAAAACTGGTGCATTAATCTAAAATTGGCTTTACCAAGCTATAATGAAGAAAGCTCTATATTTTAACTCTTAAGGATGCTAATGCTTAGTTAAGCTGATGCAAAGAAAGCATAAAAAAAAGCCACTTAAAACAATTAACTGTACTTACATATCTTTCCCAGTCGATATCGCCGTAGAAGCCATTCGGGGCTCCGTTTGTCTTCTTCTGAGACTGAGAAGAAAGAAGCTGTTTGATTAAAATCCCTGCAGACACTAAAGACAGTAAGTTATGCAAGACTGTCCTACATCTATCCAGACTACAACTTAGCAGCATGCTTTAACTGT